TACAAGGTTAACTTATCCTGCTTTAGGTTAACTTAACCTGCTTTAGATTAACTTAACCTGCTTTAGGTTAACTTAACCTGCTTTAAGTTAACTTAACCTGCTTTAGGTTAACTTAACCTGCTTTAGGTTAACTTAACCTGCTTTAGGTTAACTTAACCTGCTTTAAGTTAACTTAACCTACTTTAGGTTAACTTAACCTGCTTTAGGTTAACTTAACCTGCTTTAAGTTAACTTAACCTACTTTAGGTTAACTTAACCTGCTTTAGGTTAACTTAACCTGCTTTAGATTAACTCAGTGCTTCTCAATTATTTTCCGTTACGCCCCCCTAGCAAGAAGAAAACTATTCGCGCCCCCCACTCCCCACCGTGACTATCCATCTCTGCATAACATTTTTTTCCTTATTAACATTTTTTTTCGCTGAAAAAACTCTAGCGGCTTATCGGCGTGATTGGGATGTAACGTATTTAAGTGACGCGCTAATTTATTTGGCTTCATGCTGTCCGCTGCGAGCATTTTTAGACACAGCAAACACACCGGTCTTTCCTCTTCTCCAACTGTAGTCACAGTGAAGCCAAGCGCTAAATACGCTTCGTCGTATTTCCTCTTCTTAGCTTTCGGTTGACTTTCTGTTGTCTCATTATCTTTGTCTCTCTCCGCTTTTCTTTTCATCCCTGTGAAAAACTTTTTCATGTTGGGGGTTGTTGAATAATGGAGGCCATAGACAGAACGCAGTCGGAGCTTTTTGTTGACTTAACACTGCTAACCAAGGCAAACCTGTTGTCTTGTAAGTCGTAAAATGTTGCACTGTCGCAAACGTGACAGAAGTAACAATGAGAGCGCCACTGCCGCCTACTGTGCGCAATTACACTTTATACTAGTACGGCCAAAAAAAAAAGCCTGTTCCCCAGGATCACACGCCCCCCCAGGTATCGCACCGCGCCCCCCAAAGGGGGCCCGCCCCACTATTTGAGAAGCACTGGGTTAACTTAACCTTAGATTAACTTAACCTGCTTTAGATTAACTTAACCTACTTTAGGTTAACTTAACCTGCTTTAGATTAACTTAACCTGCTTTAGGTTAACTTAACCTGCTTTAGGTTAACTTAACCTGCTTTAGATTAACTTAACCTGCTTTAGGTTAACTTAACCTGCTTTAGATTAACTTAACCTGCTTTAGGTTAACTTAACCTGCTTTAGATTAACTTAACCTGCTTTACAACTGAACCAGCTTCTTAGTAAACCCTCCAGGACAGAAAATACAAAGTTTCTATAAGCCTCCAGTTTTCCCTTTCAGTAAGGTCAGTGCTGAAAATGAGAAAAATAAATAGTCAGTACAGAAAATGCAGCAAACATAAAAAAAACCCCGTTAGGATTCCTCTACTTCACACACTATAGGTGCAACAACTGGTCATTATGCAAAAGAAAAAGAATTGGGAGGGAAATGCAGCTTATTGGCATCTGAAGAGGAGAGCTTTTAGTTAACTTGGTGTTTAATGGGAGAAGGAAACAGACCTCCATGAAGCTGACACCACCTACTCAAATAATCCAGCAAATAGTCTGATTGGTTTGTGCTGTTAAAATGTTCGTTTGTGCAGCTTTGGTTTCCGAGATATTAAAAATGATTTTTTAGGCCATCCAAATATCTACTTTTTAAGATTACAATTACTGAAAATATTGAGTATGACTAAAAATTCACTAGAGAACAGTGTGTCTCGTGTAACTGCATGAATTTAGTGTCAGTTGGTCACAAGGCAAGAAATCTATTTCCATGAGTTTCTCTGGAGAGTTTGGATGTAAAATTTATTGACTCTCCCTGAGTGAAACTCCGACACCTTGAGGAAGGAGGAGACCAGAGACCGGCTGGCCCAAATTAGCGTTCATGAATCGGATCAACCTCGAGTTAGACGCCGCTCACACCGGATATTGGAACAGTCAAAATCCACATTGAAAACAACTTTGCTGCGTTTGTTTTAACGGCACAAACGGAGCATTAATGAACCAGCCCACTTTGGTTTGTTTTGGAGCAAAATGGGGGGATGGTGACTCTGGATGGCCTAAAAAATCATTTTAATATCTCAGAAACCAAAGCTGCAAAAACGAACATTTTAACGGCACAGACCAAACGGAGAACTAACCAATCAGACTGTTTGCTGGACTTTGTGACGTAGGTGGGGAGGAGAAACCTGAGCATCCTGTTGGAGATGAACAAGCCCAGGCAAGCAGGCTTTGTTGCAGTCGGTCAGTTGGTTGGTCATAACATTTGTGTTTCTCTCTCGTTTTTTGTAACGACTAACTAAACCACACATTGAAAATGTATCGAGTAAAAGTATAAAATTAAGTTCGGAAATGTAGTGAAGTAAAAGCGAAAGTTATCAAAAAATGTTCTTACTCGAGGAAAGTATGAAGTACTCTAAAATATACTTAAGTAAAGTAGTGAAGTATTTTTACTTTGTTACTATACAAGACTGCCAAAAAGCCCCAGAGCATAATACTGCCACCACCATACGTTGCACACATGGCTTTGCTCTCCTCTCAATGTAACCATCACCGCTTAGCGGCCTAATCTCTCCATTCTGTGGGCGCTTCCTTCTCTGGCGGTTGGCAGAACATGGAGGATGCTGACGTCACTGCGCCCTCTACTGCCCTCTACTGCGCATGCGGGACACGTTGAAATCCGGTTTGACAAATATATGAACTGGGTCACTGCGATTTAACGATTAAATCTGATTTTTTCTAATCAGGAAATAGATGAATTCATGTTCCTCTGGGAGGGATGAGAGCAGCTGGTCTCAAGATCCAGAACCAGAACAGAACCATTCTGGTTTCTGGTCATTGACACGTTGTGACCAAAAAACACAAAGTTTTCAAATGTTTTTTTCATAGAATATACAGAATATTCAGTCAGGGTGCAGAAATACACAAAAGAGGAGGAAACAAACATTTAATCACTAAAATAAAACCAGAATATATAAATATTTCTATATTTTTTTAATATCTGAAACTATTTGTTTTTATCCATCTGTACACCACTCTGCAGTTCAACAGGGGGCGCTGTGGTGCCTGGTGATTTTTGCCTCCTGAAGTTTTACATTGTTTTATGTAAATTAGGAGAAATTTATAACAGCTGGTTGTACAAACACACAGTGACGTCATGAAAGTTGAATATATTTGTGCCGTACAGGAAGTGATCATGTGTCACAGGAAGTGATCATGTTTCACAGGAAGTGATCATGTGTCACAGGAAGTGATCATGTGTCACAGGAAGTGATCATGTTTCACAGGAAGTGATCATGGTCACAGGAAGTGATCATGTGTCACAGGAAGTGATCATGTTTCACAGGAAGTGATCATGTGTCACAGGAAGTGATCATGTTTCACAGGAAGTGATCATGTTTCACAGGAAGTGATCATGTTTGGCACAGCAGGTTGATTCACTTCCTTTAGTTAAAGTTAAATAACTTAATGAAATTACCTTTGCAAACAACAACCTCTTCCTAAAACATTAAGAACAAATTCCTCCATCTCTAAATTAATAGTTTTCTCTCAGGCTGCAGATCAATTTAACTGAATGTGAAATTATGAGGATCCATAACTGTTCTGATTCTTACATTTCCAATATGCCAGTTAAAAATAAAATTACGTACTTGTGGATCACTAAATGTAGAGCTACCAGCGTAATAAATATTTACAAGACAATATTGATAAATGTGGCAAAACCTGAAATAATTGGCTTCACAGAGACTTGATGTTATTGGCAGAACATTATGAACAAAAAACTGATGTTTCCTGCATCTTCCTGAGCCGTCCGTCCAAATCTCATAAAGCAGATTAACAGAATAAATTTGAACTTTATTTGGAAAATAAACACATTTGCTAAAACATAATGAGGACGGTGACATCAAGGCATCAACTTCGAAATCATGAATGTAGTTTAAAAATGAAATGTCTTCAGGCCGTTTTAAGAAGTGCTGATCTTGTTTGGTTCGTTATGGCGGCGTCTGGATTTCAAAAGGTTGGAGCTATTAATTCGTTATTGAAAGTGATTTTGAATGATCTAAACTCTCTAGTTTCCATCAGTAGGTTTTGTTACAGTGGAAGTTAAAAGCCCATAATGTCCTATAGTGTCCCATAATGTCCCATAATGTCCTATAGTGTCCCACAATGTCCCACTGTGGAGCCGCTCTATGTGCCACAACATCTATATTCCTGGACAATTGGTGGAATAAACTCATCTGGCCAATTCCTCCTTTACTGGATGGAAATGCTGATATTCTCAGTTTGGAGGATTTAATAGGAATATGGAACTGATTGTTCCCTGATGAATCATAAGAAGGTTTTATGCAGGATCCCTCATGTCCTCATCTCATGTCCTCATCCTGTCTGGTAAAAACTATTGACCTCATTTCTTTATTTTTTTTATTCCAAGACTCCAGGAGATAAAACTGAGCAGGTGGACATTAGAGATAATAAATGCAGCTACAGGTTTATGAATCAATATTCTATAAATAATAGAAACCCAGAAGAACAAGAATCACATTTCTCTTACAAAATGTTAACAAATCTATGATAGTCAAAATTAGGACAAATTATTTGAAATTCCCAATTCCTCCTAAACATAAAAAATTACAGTTTGAAATAACATAAATCCTTCAAATGAGTTTTTAAGAGAGAATTTTAATGTTGAGAATTGTGGTTTTTATTTTACTAATGTAATAAAGTATTAAACTTTTGGGATCAACTTTGTAACTTGTAAAAATATAAATGTGGATTTTATTTACAAAACATTCAGTTTGGTTTAGTTATCAAAGAAAGAAATGTGAATTTTTACTCGATGTTCTAATGATTATATTCATAAATGCTGCCTCTCAATTTAAACAGTTCAATAGTTTAAGTTTATTTCAGGGCCTCGAATTAATTCATCATTATTTTTATTTTTTACTTCTAGTCGTTTCCAAGGGGATTTGATGACAATATTTGCTGATATTTGTATTTTTCTGTAATGTTTGTGATTGATCTGTCTGTCATTGTGATAAAATACAAAAACAAAGATCCTGTGTCACGGACAGATGCCTCTTCCGTCAGAAGGTTCTGGCTCTCCCCGTCGCCATGGTCACAGCTTGATGAAGAGGACTCCGGTGACGGCGGCGAAGCCAGCAGCATCATGGCCACCTTGGGGATGCGGCCGCGGCCGGCGGCCAGCTCGTGCGGCAGGATCTCCATGAAGGTGATGTAGAGGAAGGTGCCGGCCGCCAGACCCTGCAGCGTGCTGCGCGCCAGCCGGTGCTGCGGCGACATGCGGCTCTCCGTGAGCCCCACGCCCAGCGCGATGCCCAGCGGCGACATGATGGCGAAGGCCAGCAGGCCGCCGGACACCACGGCGCGCCGCAGCCGGGCCTGGGACAGCGCCGCGCTGAGCGAGAACGCGATGACGCTCTTATGGATGAGCAGCGCCAGGCAGACCTCCAGCACTTCCTGGCCGCGCGGCAGCAGCCCCACCGCCAGCCCCTCCAGCACCGAGTGCAGCGACAGCGAGAACACCAGCACGAAGGCCCGCAGCGCCGACTGGGAGCCCGGGGTCGCATGCAGGGGCCCCGCCGGCTCCACGGAGCCACGCCGCCGCCGGGCCGGGCCGCCGTCGGCCGCCTGGGCGCCGGAGTCCGCCATCAGGGCCCGGCGCTCCTCCAGCTGGGCCGGAGACGGGTCGCTGAAGGCCAGGACGATCTGCTCCAGAACCAGAACCAGGAAGAAACCCATGGCCACGATGAACTCCGGCAGAGGGAACTGGAGCTGGAAGAGCAAACACACACCTCAGAACCGGGACCACTAGGAACCACTGGGAACAACTGGGAACCACTGGGAACAACCGGGAACCACTGGAAACAACTGGGAACACTGGAAACAACTGGGAACCACTGGAACAACTGGGAACCACTGGAAACAACTGGGAACCACTGGGAACAACTGGAAACCACTGGGAACTGGGAACCACTGGAAACAACTGGGAACAACTGGAACAACTGGGAACCACTGGGAACAACTGGAAACCACTGGGAACAACTGGAAACAACTGGGAACCACTGGGAACAACTGGAAACCACTGGAACAACTGGGAACCACTGGAAACAACTGGGAACAACTGGAAACAACTGGGAACCACTGGGAACAACTGGAAACCACTGGAAACAACTGGGAACCACTGGAAACAACTGGGAACAACTGGAACAACTGGGAACCACTGGGAACAACCGGGAACCACTGGGAACAACTGGAAACAACTGGGAACAACTGGAAACAACTGGGAACAACTGGGAACCACTGGAAACAACTGGGAACAACTGGAAACAACTGGAACAACTGGGAACAACGGAACCACTGGAACAACTGGAAACAACTGGAAACACTGGGAACCACTGGAACAACTGGGAACCACTGGAAACCACTGGGAACCACTGGAAACACTGGAAACCACTGGAAACAACTGGGAACCACTGGAACAAACTGGAAACCACTGGGAACAACTGGGAACCACTGGAAACAACTGGAACAACTGGAAACAACTGGGAACCACTGGGAACCACTGGAACAACGGGAACCACTGGAACAACTGGAAACACTGGGAACAACTGGGAACCACTGGAAACAACTGGGAACAACTGGAAACAACTGGGAACCACTGGGAACAACTGGGAACCACTGGAACAACTGGGAACCACTGGGAACAACTGGAAACAACTGGAAACAACTGGGAACAACTGGGAACCACTGGAAACAACTGGGAACCACTGGAAACAACTGGAAACAACTGGAACAACTGGGAACACTGGGAACAACGGGAACACTGGGAACCACTGGGAACAACGGGAACCACTGGAACAACTGGAAACAACTGGAAACAACTGGGAACCACTGGGAACAACTGGGAACCACTGGAAACACTGGGAACCACTGGAAACAACTGGGAACAACTGGCAACCACTGGAAACAACTGGGAACAACTGGGAACCACTGGAAACAACTGGGAACCACTGGAAACAACTGGGAACACTGGGAAACAACTGGGAACCACTGGAAACAACTGGAAACAACGGGAACCACTGGAAACAACTGGAAACCACTGGGAACAACTGGAATCCACTGAGAACAACTGGAAACCACTGGAAACAACTGGGAACCACTGGAAACAACTGGGAACCACTGGAAACAACTGGGAACCACTGGAAACAACTGGGAACCACTGGAAACCACTGGAAACAACTGGGAACCACTGGAAACAACTGGAACCACTGGAAACAACTGGGAACCACTGGAAACCACTGGAAACAACTGGGAACCACTGGAAACAACTGGGAACCACTGGAAACAACTGGGAACCACTGGAAACCACTGGAAACAACTGGGAACCACTGGAAACAACTGGGAACCACTGGGAACAACTGGGAACCACTGGAAACAACTGGGAACCACTGGAAACAACTGGAACCACTGGAAACAACTGGGAACCACTGGAAACAACTGGAACCACTGGAAACAACTGGGAACCACTGGAAACAACTGGAAACCACTGGAAACAACTGGGAACCACTGGAAACAACTGGGAACCACTGGAAACAACTGGGAACCACTGGAAACAACTGGGAAACTGGAAACCACTGGAAACAACTGGGAACCACTGGAAACAACTGGGAACCACTGGAAACAACTGGGAACCACTGGAACAACTGGGAACCACTGGAAACAACTGGGAACCACTGGAAACAACTGGGAACCACTGGAAACAACTGGGAACCACTGGAAACAACTGGGAACCACTGGAAACAACTGGAAACCACTGGGAACAACTGGAAACCACTGAGAACAACTGGAAACCACTGGAAAAAACTGGGAACCACTGGAAACCACTGGGAACAACTGGGAACCACTGGAAACAACTGGGAACCACTGGAAACAACTGGGAACCACTGGAAACAACTGGAAACCAATGGGAACAACTGGGAACCACTGGAAACAACTGGGAACCACTGGAAACAACTGGGAACCACTGGAAACAACTGGGAACCACTGGAAACAACTGGGAACCACTGGAAACAACTGGAAACCACTGGGAACAACTGGAATCCACTGAGAACAACTGGAAACCACTGGAAAAAACTGGAACACTGGAAACCACTGGGAACAACTGGGAACCACTGGAAACAACTGGGAACCACTGGAAACAACTGGGAACCACTGGAAACAACTGGAAACCAATGGGAACAACTGGGAACCACTGGAAACAACTGGGAACCACTGGAAACAACTGGGAACCACTGGAAACAACTGGGAACCACTGGAAACCACTGGAATCCACTGAGAACAACTGGAAACAACTGGAAACCACTGGAAACAACTGGGAACCACTGGGAACCACTGGAAACAACTGGGAACCACTGGAAACAACTGGGAACACTGGAAACAACTGGGAACCACTGGAAACAACTGGGAACAACGGGGAACCACTGGGAACCACTGGAAACAACTGGGAACCACTGGAAACAACTGGGAACCACTGGAAACAACTGGAAACCACTGAGAACAACTGGGAACAACTGGGAACCGGAACCACTGGAAACAACTGGGAACAACTGGGAACAACTGGGAACCACTGGAAACAACTGGGAACTGGGAACAACTGGGAACCACTGGAAACAACTGGAAACAACTGGGAACAACTGGAAACCACTGAGAAACAACTGGGAACAACTGGGAACCGGAACCACTGGAAACAACTGGAAACAACTGGAATCCACTGAGAACAACTGGGAACCACTGGGAACCGGAACCACTGGAAACAACTGGGAACAACTGGCAACCACTGGGAACAACTGGGAACCACTGGGAACAACTGGGAACCACTGGAAATAACTGGGAACAACTGGAATCCACTGAGAACAACTGGAAACAACTGGGAACCGGAACTACTGGGAACCACTGGAAACAACCACTGAGAACTTTTTAACTGGACAATGAGATCAAACATAAAACACTATGTTTGATCTCATTATCCAGATTTTAACAAACTACGAAACCCAAACAACAGAAACTTTCAGTATTAAAACATCCTCCATGTCCCCCAGGGGGCGCCGTAGACCTGGCCTGGTGACCAGGGGCTTGTTTCTTAGTGTTGGTCGTACTTTGATCCAGCGTCCCTGAACGCCTCGCCGATGCTCTGCAGGAAGTCGGGCAGCAGGTCCAGCAGGCAGGTGGCCATGAAGACGCCTCCAGAGAAACAGCTGATCAGGGCCAGCAGGCGGCCGGCGCTCTGAAACACACACACACACACACACACACACACACACACACACACACACACACACACACACACACACACACACACAGCCTCAGCATTGCTCAGCTGAATGGTCCGGACTCCAGACGGAGCAGAACCGGGCCGGTACCTGGGTCTGTGCCGCAACAGCGCTGCCCTGACGACGCAGAGCGGGACGAACCCGAACAGCAGCGTGACGGACAGCAGAACCACCAGCGCCACCAGTTTGATCTCCAGAGCCGGGAGGTCGGCCGGGTCGACCTGCAGCGCCGCCGGGCTCCCCCCGGGACCCATCAGGACCGGCATGGCTGCCTCAGAGTTCGCAGGAGCCTGGCCTGGACCGGAACCAGAATCTGTCAGAACAAACACTGCCATTAGCATCCAGAAACAAAGCTAACATGTTTAGACTGGAAATCTGTGACAAGATCCCAATGCTAGCAATAGCTAGCATAGCTTGTCCGGAATGCTAATGCTAGTAATCACAGCCACTGATGACAGAAGTTAAAAGTTTTCCTGTAGCGGTTTCTTGTTTCTCTGCCATTAGCACTTTAGCGGTGAGGACATGAGCTTGGTTGGCAGCGCTGAGCCCCGCCTCCTGGCTCTGATTGGTTGTTTCTGTCCGTTAGCGGTTCCTCAGACTGCATGTTTTAGATGTTCCTCTATCCAAAGGATGGCATCTGAGGAACATGATCATCTGTCACAACAAGATCCTGTTTCTCATTCCAGACTGAAACTCCAGAATCCAGATCCGGAACCCTGCAAAGTGTTCCTGCTGGTTCTGGATGGGTTCTAGAAATGGAAAGCAGCTGATTGGATCAGAACCTTCAGACTCCATGTCCAGAACCAGAACCGGGATTTTAGATCTGGACTCTGTCTAAAAAGTTCTGACCCAAATAGAACCAGAGGTTTGGATCTGTACTCACATAACCTGAAGTTGGATCAGAACCATCAGAACTTTCCTGCTGAGCCTTCGGTCCGTCTACAGTCGGAACCAGTAGGAACCAGAACTTTTCCCACTTTGGTCCAAAGAATAATCCCGCGAGAAAACCCGCGACCCACAGCGACTCGTTAGGTTCCCGAACCTTGGCCTTCCCGCACCGGTTCGGGCCAGTAACGTGACCCAGGAATATTCTTCTCCTGACTGGATTTATGGCGGACAATCCGGGAAGTTCTGACTCAGTTCCCATCAGCGGATCCCGCCTCAACCAGGAGCTGATGTCAAACTCCCCGTAAACACACCGCAGCGCACTTCCGGTTTTCAAATTAAGAGAAAACAAAATCTGACACCACTTTCGAAGGTCATTTTTATGTTAATAGGTCTTATTATTATTGTAATTATTATTATTATTTGTTAGAAAAAAGAAGTATTTCAGCATCAGAAAATCAGTAAGAAGAAACAGATGAAACCCCTGTGGCTCCGTCCTCGTGCTTTTATTTTGAAGATGCCACCGGTTTTCCGGTGTAACTGTGTGTAACTTCCCTCAGGAACAGCCGAAGGAGGAACCGTCCAGCCGGAATTCTGGAACAGACAGGAAGGTCAACGACCTGCAGAACCAGAACCAGGACCAGGACCTGAACCTGAACCAGAACCAGAACCAGAAACCAAGACCAGGAACCAGGACCTGGACCAGGAACCAAGACCAGGACTTGAACCAGAACCAGGATCAGAACCAGAACCAGAACGGTCACAGCAGGAAGATTGTTTTTCTGTCGATGAGGAACAAAACCAAACAGCCGTTTCAAACGAGAGCAGAAATATAAAATCAACTGTAGAAACTGTGATCGTTGATCAGGATCCATAAGCTCCTTATCCAGGGTTTGGAGCCTCCTCCTGACCTGGAGGAGGCTCCAAACCCTGGATCAGGACCTGGTTTGTCCCAAATCTCTGTTGGAAGTAAAACAGGATGGAGCCTCCAGAGCTTTTCTGACAGTCAGAGAATTTCCTCCATCTGACACTGAAAACTTATTTTCACTCATTGACTTTCGACCAATGAGTGAAAATATGTAAAACTGACACCTGATTTTACTCAGTTTTTTATTTAGAGTTGATTTTTATGCTTTATTTTAACGTTTCTTTATCTTAGCACTTTGTTTCAACGTTCTATTAATAAAGTTTATGATTTTCTCTTTCTGATCCTTTTCTAAAGCATCACTTCTTACCTTGACCACTTTAGCTAGCAAAGCATTAGCTGACCTGGTTGCAGATGTTTCTTTGGGGTTCCAGAAGTGGCGGGAAATCCTTGACGTCATGAGCCTCGGGTTGAAGAATCAGCTTGTTGTGATCACTTCTTATGTTTTGGCCTCTTCCTGGGACTGAAATTATTTTACAAGGTGCAAAAGCTTTTCACTGTCATGTTAGGATATGCAGAGGAAAGAGCAAATATGAGTTCTGGTACCGAGAGCTCAGAGCAGGACGGCCTCTTTGGGAAGCGTTTGGGATCGTCTTAATTCCTCAAGCGCAAATGGAAACGTTTGAGACCAGAAACAGACCAAAGTCCATCTGGAGGAAGAAACCCTAAGATCCCAAATCCCTAACATATGTTTTTGTTTTATTTTGTATTATGCATATTTTTTGTTCTAGGGACATTTATTTTGAAAATTTCCAAGTAGGAAGTAGAATCCAGCACGTTAGCTGGGAAACATCCTATGGAAGCAAGAGGCTGCAGAAAAAGTAGAAAGAATGAGTTTAATGACCTCATTTCAGCCAGCGGGGGATGTTTCTGTGTTAATATCACTTTTGACACCATCTCATTGAGTTGTTCTTTAGATCGATGGTGGGAAAGAAAGTGGAGCTGGAACTGTAAAGATTTAAACCCACTTCATAGCATCAGTAAAACAAACTATTGACACCAAGAAGAGATGGAAGTGATGATATGTAATAATTATTACTTAGTGAAGAAAAGTGAGGACAAACATTCAGTAAGTTGAGATGGACTCTATAAAACGGACGAACTCTGAGGCCTTCAGTCAGCATTTAGGTCTGGACCATGTCAGCAAAATGTCACTTTTTGCTTAAAAATGTTGGAAACTGAAAGAACGAAGAAAGAATCCAGAATGTTATGGATTATATGTTTATTTCTTCCACCATATTTTCTCCACTGAGACGAGTCAAGATAAAAATAAGTCCCGCATTAATATTTATTTATAAATTAAATGATTATTCTGGCTTGTATGCCTGATCATAAAAATATTAAAAGGGTGAAAACTAGACAAACTAAAAGTAAACAGAGTTTATCCGGAGGATCAGGAGGGGGAGGAGCCTGGAACAGCCCAGAGGAAACTGGAGCTTCGTTTTTGGGAAACAGCAGCAGAGACTTTCAGAAATAAATAAAATCGTACAGGGATGGGCCCAGATTACCCAGAATGCACCGGGGTGACTCCTCTCTACAGACCACAGCAGGACAGGAAGCAGGAAGTCCGCTGACCGTCCAGGGCTTCTAAGGCACCAGAAGAGGAAGCGTTGCTGTTTGGACCCTGAAGAGCCGCAGGTTTGGTATCAGGAACATGTTCATAAACTGGAGCCGCTCCTGACCCGGCGGGCCAGAGTGAGCAGAACAGAAACCGGACCAGCCTGGTGGAAGTTCAACCGTATGCTGTTGGCGCTCTGACAATCCAATCCCGGATCCGGAAGATCCGGCTTCCGGGTCCTTAGTGTGACTCAACTAGCTGTAGTGTCGGTACTGAACGGATCCGGATCCATAATTTATCTGGATCAGAACCGAACAACCAGCAGAGCAACGAGAAACAGAGCTGGAATATTACCCAAAAACAGGCGGAGCTCCAAAGACGGGGCGGGGCTTCAGCAGAAATTCCCACCAATTAAAAACATGGAATGATTTGAACCTGGAGCCACATCCGAGCGGTTCTGGTCCAGCTCAGTTCACAGAGCTCAGGACCAGCTTCACTGGTCCCAATCAGCTTCCCAGCATCAGATCCCAGTGGAATGTTCTAGTAATTAAATAAACCCTGACCCTTGACCCCACTTGTCGCTCAGAGTCCAAACTGAACGGTTACACCTCCACCAGAACCAAACGGGTTCAAAGCAAAGCAGCATTTTACAAACCAGTCCTCCCAATTCTTAATCCCAGTCCAATAAAGCAGGAGCTGCGTCCAGTCCCAGACCGGAGCGTCGCTCTGTCGGAGGATCTCACAGGAAAAAAGTCAGTGCTGCCAGGTGAGATCACCCCGACGTCCTCTTCCTCCAATCATCCAATCAGCAGCCAGAGACCGGGGCGGGTCATACCTCCAGGGAGCAGTCGGAGGGGGGGCGGCGCTCAGCTCCTCGACACCGCTCCACCTTCTTGATGACCTCTGACACCACACACACCGAGGAGGTGAGGCTGAGCAGGAACAGCAGGTCTGCAGGACGGATGGAAACTATTATCAAAACCAGACAAAACCATCAAAACTGTGGAAAATATAAATATTTACAGTGCGTTTACTTTTATTAGACGTTTATTCAGTATTAATCTTACAATATTTAATCAATTTACCGTATTTTCCTCACTATAAGCTTTAAATTTTAAATTTAAACTAAAAGCCTTAAATTTTTTCAAAAGCTGATCATGCGCCTTATAATCCGGTGCGCATTATATGTGGATCAATATTGAGCCGCAACAGGTCTGGCAACTATGGTAAGACGACTCCATTTTCCCCGTAGAAGAAGTAGAGCGCGGTGCATACTGGGATAGCTGTATTAAACGGCGTTTCATTTCCATTTGTGTGTTTTTGTAAAGACCCTGAAATGGCTCCTACTAAGAGACACGCTTACAACGCAGAGTTTAACTCAGGGCGATCAGTCACGCAGTAGAACACGGAAATAGAGCAGCAGCGAGAGAGTTCAACATTAACGAATCAATGGTGCGGAAGTGGAGGAAGCAAGAGGATGAGCTGCGCCAAGTAAAGAAGACGAAACAGAGTTTCCGCGGGAACAAAGCGAGATGGCCACAGTTAGAGGACAAACTTGAACTGTTGGTTGTTGAGCAGAGAGCAGCAGGTAGAAGTGTCAGTACAATCACTATTCGATTGAAGGCAACAGCGCCAGCACGCGAACTTAACATCAATGAATTTAGAGGCGGTCCTTCTTGGTGTTTTCGGTTTATGAAAAGACGTAATCTCTCCATCCGCACACAAACTACTGTTTCACAGCAACTGCCAGCTGACTACCAAGAAAAGCTGGCCAATTTCCGCACATACTGCAGAAACAAGATTACTGAAAAAAAGATCCGGCCAGAGCATATCATCAATGTGGACGAGGTTCCACTTACTTTTGATATTCCTGTGAACCGCACTGTGGATAAAACTGGAGCACGTAAGGTGAATGTTCGCACCACAGGGAATGAGAAATCATCCTTCACTGTAGTTCTCGCCTGCCAGGCTGATGGCCAGAAACTTCCACCCATGGTTATCTTCAAGAGGAAGACTTTGCCAAAAGAAAACTTCCAGCCAGCGTCGTCATCAAAGCTAACTCGAAGGGATGGATGGATGAAGAAAAGATGAGTGAATGGTTGAGAGAAATTTATGTGAAGAGACCGGGTGGGTTTTTTCACACAGCTCTGTGCCTATTGATCTACGACTCCATGCGCTCACATATCACTGATAACGTCAAAAAGCAAGTGAAGCGTCGCCGTCATTCCGGGTGGATTGACAAAAGAACTCCAGCCGCTAGATGTTGGCATCAACAGAGCTTTCAAAGCGAGACTGCGAACTGCGTGGGAGCAGTGGATGACAGAAGGCGAACACACGTTCACCAAGACGGGAGACAGCGCCGGACGACATACGCCACTATCTGCCAGTGGATCGTAAATGCCTGGGCTGATATATCAGACTCAAGAAGGCAGGAATTGTCACTGAACTGACAGACAACAACAGAGACACTGACTCGGTGAATGACGACCTTGATGAGATGGAGCCGGGCGTGTTGGATGCCGCATTAGCCCAGCTGTTCAATTCCGACACCGAAGAAGAAGAATTCGAGGGATTCGTAGACGAGGAATGAACTGATAACGTGAGCTTCACATGTTTTTTTGTGTGTGTTTACAGTTGAACAAGGTTGGTCATATTGTTAATATGGGGATTAACGTGAACAACATTGAGATAGCCTATTATGCTATTGCTTTAGAGTTATTATTTGAGTTATTATTGTTATTGCTTTGCACTATTACGTGTGTTACTATATTGTGATTGCACTAATGTTTAATTTACCGTAACA